TTCCTCAATATCTGTTCATCGCTAGATCGTAAGACTGGAGAGGTGATGTTGAAAGCTGGATCAGTACATTATTGAGAAGAAAACCATTTTTATCAAAGTAGTCAAGAAACATGAAAGGATTGAAAGTTAAATACCCAATAGGGTATTTAACAAGAAGGTTTTGAAGACACTGTAGAATTCACAACAGCAACGTAAAAAAGCCTGCGTTCACCTGCTGCCTAACAGCGCTAGGCATTTCCTTTATTAAAGCATCAGAGATAGCTGGGGCTGCGCTTCTGCAGGTGCAGAACTGCCTGTCTGAGCTGAGCTGAGCAGAGCAGAGCAGCGCCGACGTGCCGCCGACGTGCCACCAGGACGCGGGAAACAGCCTGCAGCCCACCCTGCCCCTCCTGATGGATCCGATCTGATAAACACACTCGGACAATACAGTCAGAGGATTGCAAGCGATCATCCACTGACTGAACCACGTTAAAGGACCACGTGTTTCTTCCCAGCTCTAAACATTTGCCAAGAGGCATCAATTTAAAGCAAATATATTGGGCTAGAAAAATGTATGCGGTCAAATAATCTGAGCAGTGGCTCTTAAACTGGTAATTGGTTCAATTTCTGATCATCTGATCACACAGTTGTAAACAATATTTTAAAGTGGTCATGGTGCAGCAGCTGCAACCTGTTCTCTACATAATAGCCTGCTATTAGGGAGCACTCACACAGAAAATGAATGATCAGTAGCTGCTTCCCTCCCCTCCTCTGCCCACCCCAGGGGATGCTAACTATCTCAAATAAAAACACATTGCTTACAGGGATAAACATGATTATCAGAAGGAGATTTTGTGTTAAGAAGCAGGGAAATCCTAAAGACTGTATAACTCCTTCCTATGTGGAAATGAGAAATCGTTCAGCAAATATATTTGCTCTATATTCAGGTATAAACCCAGAATGATGTGATCAAATCTGATGCTGTAAAGCCTTCTTTACTATTAATGAACACGAAATACTGCATTTTAGTGGGTACGGGCCTTTTTAAGTCGGCAGAGCTAGAAAAGACTCTAAGCTATTTTTCCCTAAATTGGTTATTTTAACCTTTTACTTCACTGTCCCTGGTTCCCGTTCGGAGGCACCAGGACGTGATGTCAGCTTTAGCCGCCACACCAGCAAGGCGTCAGAAGGGTTCGACGTTTCGATACCTAAGGATTTTATTCAATCTGGGTTTGCCGTACAGTTGCTTCTGCAGAACGCATCTCCCCCATCTGTGGGACAAATTGCAGTCATTATATATCACCGATGCTAAAGGTTCTAGTATCTGAGAAAAAAACAAAAAAAAGGAGAAAGAAAAAAAAACCCAAAGAGTCAGGAACAGCTGTCTGGCTGTGACAGAGTAGTGCGTGATTTCCTGTAACGGGCCTGGCAGCTCCCTGGAAGCTGGTAGGGAAGGGGCTGCCCGTTCTCCGAAAGCAGGGCGAGGGGCGCAGGGCAGGGAGCACTAGGAACCCGTGCGGGCAGCCTCTCGGTCGGCCTGAGAGCGCTGCCTGCCAAACTAAGGTGTGAACACGGCCCCCGCGAGTACACGAGCCATCGCCGGACTTCCTTTCCAGCACCCCTAACTCCTGCTCTGCAAATACACACTAGAAACGTAACCTCCCACCAACTCTTAGGCCTTTCTGCTCGTATTTCCCATGGAGCTAACGTGTGATAACGTGCATTACCTGAGTGTCAACTCCCTTATTCCCTTACCAGCTCCCCAACTCCAGTATGGCCCTTTACCTTAAAGCCTAGGCTGCAAGGAGCATTTTTTGGTCTTTGTTTTCACCTTAGTAAGGGTGCCAAAAACCCAGCTGTGGCATTCAGCCACGTTTCACAGCTTTCAGGTATCAACCCCTAGTGAAGCAGCCCTGCCCCTAGCTCCCCCACAGCCCTCAAGCTGTACAGAATGTGGAAAAGGGGACAGGCCACTTGGGAGGAATACAGGGACATTGTCAGAGCGTGCAGGGATGCGACAAGAAAGGCTAAGGCCCAGTTGGAATTAAATCTGGCAAGGGATGTCACTGGCAAAACGGACGTGGCAGAGGGTGAACCAAGCAGCTTGGTTTTAAAAGTTTGTCCATCCCTGCTGATGCTCTAGGTTCAATTGATCGTTTAAATCCCTGCTGGAGGGCCCCCGAAAGGCCACCTGAGGCAGAGGCGCTCGCTGCTTTGAAACGCAGCGGCATTTGGAGCACCCGCTGCCAGCTGCGGAGACTGTTCTCTCTTTCCAGGTGTGAGGTGAAACCTTGGCCAGTAAAAGTTTTAATACTGTTCTCGGGCAAGAGCAAAGGTGAAAATTAAGTAATCACATTTGAAAAGAAAGTCCTTGTTTGCTATATTTTTTTCTTCAGCTAACAATTTGTTCAGTTTTTTATTCCCTTTTTTCCTCCTTCCTATTCCATACTCTCATGTTCTTCTCTTTTTCCGTTATTATGTTTTTAGGCATTTATTTTAAAATTGTCTCATTAAAACTTACAGACAAATTATCAATCCTCTATCATACTGAAAGAAGCAGTTTGTGTAATTTCTGAGGGCAATATTTCACTTCTATTTTAAAAAATTCATTTAGCAATGTGAAAACTCATTTGTATAGTTTATTACATCCTTGATTTGGTATAAATTCTACTTTTCCATTCCTATAACGCAATTCTAATATTCACTGCTGCAATAAATTAGCTCTCATAAACAACAAAACATCATAAAACAAATTGAAGAGATGCTGTAAACAGGGAACAAAAAAATTATCTAGTGCAAGCTTTTTGAGTGTAAACCCCTTGACATATGTTGTAACTAGCCAGTTAATAATTGCTTTGTAAATTGTTATAAATCTGAACTGAAGAAGAGAGGGGATAAAACTGACAAACAAGTCATAAATTATGATTGTTACTTGTTTGGAGTGATCATTACTACTGCCAAGCAAGTTCAAAATCTTATAACAAAGAACCTCATTTTTAAAATATTTCCTCCAGTGTAGCTATTATACTTGTGTTGGAAAATTCATATAATCCTCTGAATAAACAACTATATCATACAAAATGTATGTTTGTATAGATTCTGAATATTTAAAACAAACTGTAACTTATTTCACTCTGTTACACAAAGCAACCTTTATTTAGTATTTAGTATGCATAAGCTCTGTATAAATTTTTAGCATAAAAATATCATGAAGAAAATAATTTTGGAGAAAAACAATTTCAGAGGATTGAGAGTGTTTGAAGGAAAATCAATAGACAAGAAGGTAAATATTTCAGAAAGTGATATATTTAGTACAAACAGAAATTAAAAGATTTTTATTCCATTTTGTATTTCTTCTATTTCAGAGCATTTTATATTCTGAAGCATTTAAGGTTCCCAGCTTTAGAAAATATTTGAATGTTTACTTATGTAGTTCCCTAGCTAATGGAGGATTGCTAAACTGTTGTCTGAGTCAGGACTAGCTCTATAAACAGAAATATCAGTTTAAAATCTGAGGAATCTTTTGCTTGCACTGCTCACCCTGCTTGAAATTCATTAACTTCTTTAGCTAGTACATAAATCACTGCGCATACTCAAATGTTTTTACAAATCAAAACATTCAAAAATCCTGGAAGTGTACTCACAGTAATGACTAATGTTTGCAAACAGAAAAATAAATAAATAAATCCACTCTTCCTTCCAAAAAGCCAGGAAGGAAAGGAAAAAGCAATGATAAAATGAACAAGACAAAATGTATCAGATATATTGGGGGATCAACTGTGATAATAAATGCCTGCTCAGCATCTCCCTCAGATAAACCTCAAACAGACCAAATTATTTTTCACAAGCCACAGATGCTTAAAGAAACAGAACTATACACAGTCAGAGAAGAATGCTATAAGCTACTCACAGGAACGAGGAATTTTTTTATTTCTTCCAAGGCATGACTCATACGAGAATATGCTTCCCCAGGTGGAGCAAACACTTCAATTAACACGTGAAGCTCATCACTCAAGTGTGCATATTTGGCTTCTCCACTTTTCCTTAGTTCTTCCTCCTATGAAAAAAAGGTGGGCTTTTTTTAGAGCTGAGAATCTACTAATTTTATATTGATTTCGCATTTACAGAGAAGATGGCAAAGTGACATAATATAAGGAGACTTTTAAACCCTTTGAAAAATAAGTCTAGTACAAGCCACTTAAAGATTTAAAAATAATTTGTGAGTGTTTGAATGATAAACACAGCATAATTATCACCTACAACAGATTTTAATCAGCACAGTGAAAAATGCTAAATACTCCAGAACTGAGTAGTGAAATAATAACTCTATAAGGTGAAAGATGCATTAGCCTGCCGGAATCTTAGCTGTTCACAAAAAATAAAATAAAGGTCCGTTCACCCACTTTGAGGCATTTCAGCATATCAGACTATTCATTGAAGTCTTTGACTTATTTAATTAATTCCTCTAGGCTGTACAATTTCAGTATCACTAAAGGAAAGCGTGCCCTATATTTCTATTTGAGTCTTGATGTTTGAGTTTCAGTACCGGTTCCTGTATATGTTACCTATACACTCTTGTGTACCCCAGTTAAAATGGTGATTCACTTCACCTGGCTTTATTAGACAGTCTTCGTGTCCCAGTTTTCCATAACATAGGCCTAATAATCCTACTTTGCATCAAAGAAATGTTCTGAAACTTCAATCTACTTTTTATACAAGGCTTTGAATGCAAATTGTAATATACAGTCGTAGTAGTTACCTCTGCATAAAAAGCAAGGATATAAAGTAGTGACCGTGTTAATGCTATTGGCTATGGCAACATAATGCAAAATTTATGTCATTACTATACAAGACTATACAACTCATCAAGAAATGCTGAGTTGAAAATTCAGTCTTCAGAAATATTTTTAGAAAGGTAACTTTGAAGAAAGTATGCATGTATATCCTCACTCTATAGACAGCAAACAATCAAAAAAGTAAACTAATTTGTTTAAAATTGGCTAACAAGTACAGCTTCTTAGTATATACTACAATAAATCTTTATCAATATTTTGACATCTTACATACAAAAATTATAATATATGGTAATTGCTAGTCACTTAGATAGAATAATTTCACTTTAATTTACACCATTTTAGTCTTGTCCGACTTAGGGCATTGATTTGTAACACCAAAAATATCTGCACTGTGCTGTTTCATGCAATATGCTCCTACAGCACATAGTTGTTTTTAAGTACAGTAAAGATCCAGCCTGAAGGACTTTCTGATTTTTCCCAGAATATATAATAGTTGCATCCTTTAGCTCCAAAATCCTGGATCTGACTCCATGTTGAGTAAGAATTTTGGAGATTATGATAAAAATTATTACTTAACAAATGCGATCCAAAATTTCATTTTAAAAGTTGAAAATACAGATAATCTTTTTAAATTTAAAACCAAAATGAAGAAAACCGCATAGATGATATAAGCTTGTTATCTTACATTAGAGTTAAAATATCTTTCACATTATAGCTATACCACTGAAAGCTCATTGTAATGTACACAGGAACGACAGTAGAATATAACTGTCTGTCCTGAGGTGTTACAGTGTTTTCCAGTTTGCTGGAAAAAATACATGATTTCAGGTTCTAGAATAATTTGATGCCAAGTGTCTCAATAGGATTAAATAACTGTAATTGTAAAATGGAAACCCAGTAATTTCTGTAAACTTCTTTCACGTTGCTTTATTAGGTCTCCTAAAATAAACACCAAAAAACCTCTCAAAATTATCTTTTAGGATAAAACTACTAACAAACTTTGCCAAAAATATAAACTGAATTTCTTCTCCAAATGCAGAAAAGGCAAAATAATATTTAGCTCACTATTTTAATGAGGATTTTGCACAGTTAAGACATCTGTAATGCATTTTAATAATGCACACCTCTCTCACAGAAAACTAGATATATGCTGTTTGGTGGTAACAATGGTGAGAATGTTTCTCTTTTGTTCTCTCAACCAGCTCAGAAATTCTTAAATCCATCATTTTATAACCTCCTTCCTCGGCTCAGAACATGCTTTCTCTGTCACTACTCAGCAGCCGTTTCTACAGCTGTTAGGAATAACAGGCTAGGGCAATGAGATTCTTAACATTTATTTCTGGAGACATTTAAAGATACTTTTTTCCCATGGAACACATAGAGTTAAAAGACTGAATTTTCACATGGTACCTATTCCCACAACATGGTTAAATGTTCAGAATATGGTTTGTCTTTTACTGCAAGTGTGTGTGCTGACTGAAGAGAGAAATTGCAAAATTGCTGAAGGAAAAGCATGGAAGAGTACGAATTCATAGATCATGTGAATGTTGCAGCAAGATCTGTTTCCCTTATCAACGAATGTGATTAAGTCTTCTAGGCCTAAATGTAGCCTTACATTCAATGTTGTCTCAGGTGTCAGGCATCTAACAGATGAAACAATAGATGCAACCTACTGTTGAGGAGACGCTCCTCTGGCCCGGACCCAGTGATACACTTTTCCGCACGGAGTACGGCTGCCCAGGCTCTCCCAGGAACATAGCAAGTTGGACATTGCCTTTTCGTGTCTTCACTAGCAAGTGCCACAGCCCGACAGGAGCAGCCTTGCACAGCAAAATGGCTAGTGCTGACATCCAGACTGTGTATATTTAGCATTATAGCACTGTCTATATCTAGCATTTCAAAGGGTTTTACTTCCTGCTATTTCTTAGGACCCAAGCAGTTTTGGATTTATAAAGTGAATGAAATAGATTCATTCAGCCCAGGGAATCCTGGACTTCTGGATCAGTGACAGCCATCTCTCTAAGTGCTGACCCGCAGGTTAACTATATATTTCTTGCTTACTTCCACTTCTGGTGCAGCACAGCACAGGAAACTCACAAATCACCCTTCAGAGACCAATTACCCCCAACTCCCAATCCTCATCCGTTCCCTTCTGCATGCCAATTCCCTTCAACTTTCCAAACAGACAACGTTATATCCCATATCCATAACCTGCTACCTGCATCAGACTTCCTTCATCCCCATCTATTGCCTTGAAGTCTGTCAACCAGTACTGTAGATCTCTTACCCTTAACCTGATGCGTGGGTCCTTAGCCCACTCCCTCACAAAAACTAACAGATATTTTGAAACATGCAATGTGTTTTATAATTTCCAGTTGAATAAAGCAGGGAAGACGAATTATAAAACTCTATAGCACATATTTGAGTAGTAGTGACCTCTGCAAAAGTGAAGCGTGTGAGTGATACGAACACAAATGCCAAGAAAGATGATGAATTCTCTCTGCATGAGAAAGCAGTCTTACAAATTTAAAAGGATGTTTCCTGACTAATTTCCGACTGGAACCTAGACCAAAACACTTGAGTAAAACTACTAGAAGGAACTTGATGGAATAATTGGAATTTGCATAGCAAACAAAATTACACAATTCAGAATGATGAAAAGAAAGTGTCCTGAGAAAATGGAAATGACAGAAAATCCAAGAATAACAGAAGAGAGACCTGTAGCAGGAATTGTATAGAGATCTATTTCATAAATGTAACACATGAAACTTCCTATATTGTAACAAATACAGCTATGAAAAACAATATGAGAATCGCAGTAGGTTTCGTATCTTGCAAGAATTTGCAAATATAAAAATAGTGCACAGCACAAAGATGATAATCACAGTACTGTTGTTGTTACAGAGGCATTTTTTACAGGATCAACAGACAATGCTACAGAAGAAAATTAATGACCATGCAGTTTGACAAACGCAAACCTATTAATTTTTAATCTGTACACAAATGCAAAACCCAAGATGCTCTCTGTAACATTGATATTAGCAAAAATAGTAAGTGAACTAAACACATGATAGGAATACATGACAGGAAGTTAACCAGAACAGATGTTAATTCTCATTGGTACCTGTTCTGGGGTTAAAAAGCTTTTAGGTCCCAGGTCCTATCAAGGAACAAAGTTCCCCGGGGAAAAAGAGAACAAAAAACATCTGAGGAATGATTTGAGAATGCATGAGAGGGAACAGTTCTCAGCAAAGTACAGAATAAAGTTAAAAGAGCTTAGGCATCCCTTGCTTCCTGCTTTTAAAGAAGCTATTCTTACTTCAATGAGAAGAATAAAGAAGATGAATATGCTCAGTATATGACCAGTAGAGCTAAGAGAAAGGGTGTACTCCAAACATTTGCAACACCTGCAGTCAGCTACAGACAATCCATAATTAAATATAGATATGTAAAACAGAACATTGCTTACAACAGAGTAAATTTGTGGAGATACAGATGGCAACAATTATTTTTGTGTACTTGAGGTGTCACCAAAATTCTAGTAGTTACCTAGGTGAAAAGGAGCAGAGATTTGAGTACATTCAGCACTGCCTTTTGCAATACAGCCTCTACAATTCAAAGGTGTTTTATTTATCTCCTGATACATTTCCTAACGAACTACAACATTTTAGTTGCAAAACGTATTAAGTGGTATCTAGATTATATTTTTGTTTAGATAGGTGAGAAAGAAGACAAAGACAAATCAGTAGGAGAACATGGACATAGTATGATCATCGAGTAATTACTGAAGGAGCCCAAACAGCTGGGATGAATGTTAAATGAGCAAAAAATATAATTCTGTGCAAAGGAAATAAAACGCCTAGGAGAAAGGTTAACATATTAAAGTGATAGATTGTACCAAAATTGAAGCTACAACCAATGACTACAACCAAGTAGTGATCTATGCACAAATTGCCTGCTAGAACAGAGAGCTATTAGTGCAGAGACAGAGTTCACAAACCCATTGTGCAAAGATATTCAATGAGTATAATACACAGATGTCAATAAAAAGTTTGAAAAACTCATGCAGTAAATTAAAGATCCTCAAGAAACGTGCGATTGCCATATCTAAACATGCTTCCTATGAAGATTATTTTCACCTTAAAATTTATGATCAAATCTGGTAGCTGCTGCATTCAAGGTGCATTCAGTTCCAGGAAGAAGACCTGGCCTCAATTCATATGAGTACAAAATGCCATGTTCTGATTTATGAGAGGCTAAT